TATTACGAGCCCATGAAGCCAATCAGGATGTCGACAGCAACCTGGAAATTGACAGTCACCATCGATGTTCAAGGCGTAGTAGACGCACACCAGACCAACTGGGATAAAGTGAATCAGCTTCTAGAAGCCTGTACAAATCTAACCCAGAATGACGCGGGCTGTAAAAATGCCTTGAGAGTAACCAGAATTAAAACCTTGGGAGAGGGACCTGAGAAAACTCAACAACATCTCAAAGCCTTGCCGAGAAATGAGGGGGCGCCAAGAAGATACCGTAGAGCGCCCATATTTGGGTTCATCTCGAGAATACTGGGGCCAATAATAGGGACAACTGACTACGAGTAGCATGAACACCTGGTTGAACAAGTCAAAAAGCTGTACGAAGATAAAGAGCAGATAGCCAAAGTGATGAACGAAAGCATTCACATGATCCAGTCAGAGATAGACCAGAATAGGCAATATCTTAACACCACCAACGCGAATGAAATCTTGTTGAAATCTTGCGGAAAGACGCAGTCATGCTTTCGAAGGGACTACAGAGACCCCTCGACCGGCTTGAGAGACTAGAGGCAATGATCCAGTTCACCCACGTAGGCTCTCTACTCGTTGAGATAGGAACTCACTACATCGACACTCTGAGGAAAACTACAAGAGCAATTGAAGATGCCAAACACGGGGAAATCAGCGCAGACCTTGTCACCCACGAACAACTGGCACAAATGGTAAGACAGTTGGAAACGAGGAACTTAGGGGCAGACCTACCAATCAACATAAACAGCCCGGACCTGCGCCTACTCTCACGAATTAGCAACATCCACCTGCTACATTCGGAAGGAAAGTTTATCGCGATCATCGTAATACCATTAATGGAGAGAGGATCATTAAAGCTCTACCGAATGATTCCGTGCAATACCCCTCAGATGCTAGTGGGGAACGTGACCGGGTCAGCCTTCATACAACCACAAACCAGATACATCGTAGTTGCTCTGGACAAACCAACACTTTTTCCCAGCCACAGAAGAATACTTCCGGAAATGCGTGCAGGTAGAGGCATCATATCTATGCCCAATGCACGCCATCCGGCACCAACATGAGATGCCCACCTGCGAAATAGGACTACTACTACACCCCAACTTGGAAACAATGAGAACCTGTGACGTCAAGATTCTAAGGACTAACAAAACCCAATGGACGTGGTTAGAAGAGTCACACACATGGCTATTCTCCACAGCGGAACCAACCTCACTGAACGTGGTATATCAGGACTTGGAAAGCTTCACCATCAAGATAGTAAACACCGGAATCCTAAATCTTCGGGGAAGCTGCGAAGCACACACGACCTCAGATGTGATAAAAAGCACAGGAATAGCAGAAACCAAACTGCCGGAACTCCATGTTGCCCCGATGAATCTTGATTTGTTGGTGTTATCACCGAATCTGACGCGGGAAATCCAAGTACCAGACCTGTTGAGAACAATAAAATTAGATCCGTTGCCAACCAACACCCATATAACTGACATGACAACCTACCAACACACGTTAGACATGATCGCAAACCACAAGATGGAGGATTATAAAAGTGATTCCATCCACATGGGAATGACCAGTATAATCGGGTCTACCACGACAATTGTCACCATCGTAGTAATCGTCTTGCTGTGCAAAATGGGGGCATGCAACGCAGCCACAAAAACCTACTGCCAAAAAGAGCCG